GCGACCATACCAGAAGCCACAACATCTTGGTCTTCATATCTTTATATTCTATCTCTGGCATGCTTCAAATGGTTTTAAGGTTTGATCCTTCATCACTATTCTTTGCCGTCTTTTTTTCCCTAATATCAACTTGCGACGAAATCTTCTAATATTGATTCTGCGGAAGTCATTGATACAGGCACCTCGAACTTACGATTCTCGAAGCCATTAGTCAATTGCTCCTCCTATCTGAATGGAGGCGCCAAAATAGTCACGAAACCTCAAAACCATGTTTCTAGTCAGCGCTACGGTCTGAATCCACTTTTCCACACGACTGCATCGCAGTAGATAGATAGGCCAGGACAGAAAGAGGAGTGATAGTGTAACCGTTTCCAGCAGAACGGTTGTCGAGGCATTGACTTCACTTGTCTCAATAACAGAAAGAGGAGTGATAGTGTAACCGTTTCCAGCAGAACGGTTGTCGAGGGATTGACTTCACTTGTCTCGACGAGTTCGTATCTTGGTGCGGAGAATGGCAAGGCTCACTGATGATGCCGACTACGAGGCCAGCGAAACGTGACTTCATTTGTCTCTTTGACGAGTTCGTATCTTGGTGCGGAGAATGGCAAGGCTCACTGATGATGCCGACTACGAGGTTTGTCGAGGGATTGGCTTCACTTTTCTCTTTGACGAGTTCGTAGCTTGGTGCGGCGAATGGCAAAACTCACTGATGATGCCGACTACGATGCCGGCGAAAACGAGTTCGTAGCTTGGTGCGGCGAATGGCAAAACTCACTGATGATGCCGACTACGATGCCGGCGAAACGTTTGAGAATGTATCAAGAGAATGGCAAAACTCACTGATGATGCCGACTACGATGCCGGCGAAACGTTTGAGAATGTATCAAGTCCACAGTCAGATGCTAGGAATCAAGACAACTACTATGGCAGACGACTTCGGACTCGGTGCGTTCTACATAGTCTTCTTGGATGCTGCAAATTGCCGACTACGATGCCGGCGAAACGTTTGAGAATGTATCAAGTCCACTGTCAGATGCTGGGAATCAAGACGATGATGCCGACTACGAGGCCGGCGAAACGTCTGAGAATGTATCAAGTCCACGGTCAGATGCTATGTGCCGACTACGATGCCGGCGAAACGTTTGAGAATGTATCAAGTCCACTGTCAGATGCTGGGAATCAAGACGATGATGCCGACTACGAGGCCGGCGAAACGTCTGAGAATGTATCAAGTCCACGGTCAGATGCTAGCTACTATGGCAGACGACTTCGGACTAGGTGCGTTCTACATGGTCTCCCTGAAAACAAGAACAACCCACTTCTGCCCGTTTAGGCTCACAACCCCACTCGCGAGAGCATCTTCTCCATCTCGGACCAGCCAATTAATCGAAAGGAGACTGCGACCACACCAGAGGCCACAACATTTTGTGACAACGAGGTCAACCCACTTCTGTGGACGCTTATCTCTGGTCGCATGCGGCATCTCAAGTGGATTTATAGTGCATTTTTGCCAGAACGCCTAATTTCTATGACGGTTTGCTTATCTGTCTGCCCATCTCCCTGACTGCCAGGCCCCCAAAGTTGTACTGGTTATTCAAAGTGGACATCACCCACTGACAAAGTCTTCGCTTAATTGCTAAAAACCCCTCCCCTCCACTTTCGTCATCGAAATCCCTTTTCCTCCGGTTAGCGACAGATCCTTGATCCAGGCGTCTCCTTTTTGCTGATATTGCTCTATTGTTTTCCCAGATTTTGCTTAGGCAGTAGGCAAAGTTATCGCTAACTCTACCTTCCTCCAATCTCCTGTTCATTAGATTTTTCTCCCTTAATCTTCCGCTTTCTCATATTGTCACCGTATGGAGCTTTCCTTTCTGTTGCCTTCCAATTGATCTCGCATGGGAATCAGAGCTTAAGCGCTCCGCTCAGTGAAGCGGCAGTGTACATGATTCTAGGGCGTTGAGAGGTAGCGCCTGGACTGAAATGCACACAGGGAATGAACCTAATTGAAATCGGTCAACCAGAAAGATAAGGAACAGGTCCACGAGACAATGAAGGGATGCGGATTGGAGGCCCGAGTCGGATAAGCCCATCGAAAGAGAGGGGTCGGGGTAAATAGCAAGTGTGAT